CTCGACTACATCACTGGGCCTAAGTGGTCGTTTTTATAAAAGATGCATAAAACATGCTGTGAGGAATTTTGTAGACTTTTCGCGAGCTTGTTTACATCATAAGTTCATGTTTATTGTCAAATTTCCGCTCGTCACATGCGCCACATAATTATGGAAGCCGGATGATGCCACATCCCGTTTTCATCATTAGTAAAAACACCAATAACGTTTGGAGCCTAAAGTTGGACTTGTCACTATTTCCCCTCGCATCTCCTAGAAAGTGCGACGGCCACATGAGAGATAGGGGAGGTCCATAATTCCCTTAGGTATTAACAAAGGCCTCCCCGCTTTGGTCATTTCTGGTTTCCAAAATTGCAGAGGTGGTCTTCTGTGGGTGAAACTTCACCACCTATATTGTCGGCACAAATCTCTGTTTACAGCACAGAACTGCAGCTAGGTAAAACAGACAACATGAAGTGGTTTCAAGTATTTTGTGAAAACCAAGCGATTCAGTGCACTAGAAATCGACGGACTTATCATTTTAATTTCTCATGAGCGGTCGCAGTTCCGAAGGATACAATCCAATACATTAGCCAACCAATGATTAATATGTATGGTTAAACACGGAGATGAAAATTGTTCTGCTTTGTAAACAAATTGATTTCCACGTATATAGTTTGACGTACCAGGTGGGCGCCACCTGTTTCGAAACATTCCAGTTACAAAAGGCAACTGGCAACAGCCTGAAGAATTTAGAACGAATTCGGGACGCTACCGCTGAGTAAACCAGGAACAAAACATGGATAAATAATGCAAAACTGAGTTGTGGTACCGAAAGATGATAAAAGGAAATTAACATTCTTTCCCAGGTCGACTATTACATGTATGATTTTACAAGTGCATATTGCAAGGCTGATTTTTAAACATTTTTGCAACGAGGGGGAACAATCCTGGATAGGGGACGGTTCTTTGATTTTTCAAGTGAAGTTCCCTTGATATTTTAATTGTTACACAGATTCAACCTCGCTGATGTTAAAGGTTACGAGATAGACGTTGGTATCAAGACCAATTTCACAACAATGAATCCCTCATTTTTAATTACAAAGTAAGTATCCATACCTTTACCTGGTGCATAGGGACTTCCTATGGGCCTCTTAATTAAACCTTAATTTTTGTTTTGACTGCCATTTCTCATATGATGTTATCGCATTGTACCGTCTGACTGGGAGAAGAATCAGCTTTTTGTCTCTTATCACTTTCTTAGTGACATTTTGGCTTGAAGGAATGTAGTTTGGGGGAATCAAGCACACGCAGCTTCTGCTCCCAATAATATGCTGTGTGCACTTGTGTGTGATGTCTGTGTTATGAATCTGACCGGCAAAGGGAAACTCCACGCTTGGAGAATCTCGCCACTGGTTCAGAACAGTTTTGATAGGTAAGATTCTACCTATCAAAACTGTTCTGAACCAGTGGCGAGATTTTCCTGAGGGGAGGGGGCTCGGACAGGATTTTCAACCCAAAGAGCTCTTGATGCTCACCCCCTCAAGTTGTGCCCCGAGGGACTGGGATTTAATACTATCACTATCAGAGCTATTAGATTAAGATATAGGTGTATGTCGCATCTTTGTTTTTAGAAAAGAAACAAACAACGCAAGCAGGGGGCTTAGCCCCCCCCCACTGAGCCCCCGACCTTCCCTCACCTTACCATGGTGTTCGATTAAGTTTCCATTTATACTCTAAAGTTTATTTTTTTTCTTCACGCATAATTCCTAAAGCAGCTTTCGTAATTTTCCAGATTTAACTCGCTGAAGAAGACAGAGGATCGCTTGCGATTTCGGAACTTGTTGAATCAGTTCAAAGGTAGTCACCTTTTTCTCCCGGCTTTTGCTTTCAAATGGAGATACTATATGCTTATCCAAGCTGCGAGTGTTGCTAAAAGGTACACATCTGTACGCCCTATCTTCGGCCATCCTGGTCACTACGCCTCAGTAGCAAACCTTTGGCAGAGGACACTTAATGGATCAAGATGGACGACAACAGGTAAGCGGAAGACTCCCCCGATAGTTGTATGATTTCATGGGTAAAAAGTAATTTTAGAGGGCTACTTAATTTCTTTTCCATCCAAAAAGCAAGTTAAAAGCCCACAAACTTAGCCTCACCGTCAAAATAACAGTTTTGGCTCCAAGAAAGTATACCTCTATTTGCTCTGAACAGCATAGTACAGAGATTTTATCTTCTGACTGAATACGCATTTCAAAGATTGGAGAAATGTTAAATCAAAATGATTAATCAACTATGTCAATTCTCTGTTCCCCCTACCCTACCAAACGGTACGTCTTTTTACAGGCCTCCATGTTCTCTCCTCAATATTTGACGTGTGCGATAAGATAGACGTGTACGGTTTCTGGCCCTTTGCAACATCCTTAGACGGCCGCGTTGTACCTTATCACTACCACAACGATATCAACGGCACCAGAGCGCACAGCTTCAGCAAGGAATTCAGAGGTCTGGTTGATTTACACGAACGTGGCATACTCCACTTGCATACAGGCTCCTGTTCTTGAGGTTGTGAGTGAGCTTCATGATTGGTGAACTGTCTGGTGTGCATCTCCCCTCAACTGGACCCTCTGTGTTGAGTTTGCCAACTACAGTGAGGGGGAGGGGTTCAACCCAAAAGAAGAATTTGATAGTATGAATTATGGAAGTTTATGAGTACAAGAATTGTGCAAAACAGTTCATAAGGGGGGTTGAAAAGTGCTCATGAATTCTCAACAAATTTTGTGTTCAAATAGGATCCTATTTTTTTATGTATTAATTGTATGTAAATCAAATTAAAGTATTTTTCGTTTCATCATTAGAATCTTGGGGTTAGTTCTACTGGGGAAAGAATTTAATCGTAGTGTAGTAAACCTACCTCTTCTGAATTCCGTTTGAGGCAAGTTTTACTACACCACTAAACCATTCAGTATTTTGTATGGTACTTGAACCAAACATGCCATCACAAACGTGACATAAAATCAAACTTCAGAGGTTCAACATGCCCGAAAGGGCTTCGCTTTCGCTTTTATAGGGTAAACCTATGTGTCTGGTCTAGGTGTTGTGTTGTGTAGATGTTTATGAGTGGGTCTTGAATTGAAATTACATTGAAAATGAAGATCAGTGGTCTGGCATTAGTCGTCAGTGTGCCTTCTAATCGCTATGAGGAACACCTAGGTCGTTCCATACCACACATGTACGTGCGGGTAAGTTCAGCCTTGTCTACAAGCTGATTAATGCTGGGTGCGAAAGCAAAGCGATTTTGTGACGCCAGATCGAATATACGCGTCGCGAATTCGCAAAAGTTGAACATATTAACTCGAGCGAAATTTGGCTGTTGAACGTTAAATTCGCTTCTCTTTCACCTATGAACCGGCCTCTATGCTGGCCACCGCACGCCATCTTACACTAACTGAACATTTTTTTCAGTATTCAAGCTTCTGAGCTACCCGTTTTCGAATGACATGCCTTTGTATTTATAAAACACCGAATTGGCTCGTTCCTTCATTACAAAAACTGTTTGTATTTGTTTTTACTGAAAAGAATGACAGCTGCCTGCTACCTTTCCTGCAATGACAAGTAACAAGTTGCCGTCCAAATTGCAAAATATTGATTTCGGACAAAGTACAGTATTTAATACGATAGTATTCCTTTCAAACAGGGTTTAAAGATTTTTGATTTAAGTTAAAAACATGAAAGCGGTGAAGCAAGCCTTTTAAAATGCAAAAATGATATAAAACGTTCTATGCACCACTGCTGTATTTTTTTAATCAAAAACTTCAGATCTGTAATCTGTGATACGTGTAGAACATTGTTATGTGTACGTTTACTTGCAACCTTAATGAAATAGCTTTAATGTTTTAGCGGTGCTTTATCAAATTGTAAAAAAAATGTCAGTCGCCAAAAGGCTGGTCCCTTCAGTTACATCTCTGCCAATATGTTTGCATAATACATTTTGTGTCCCACAACCTGGATTGGGCCTCTGCTTTGATCACGAGCAGAGTTTTCAACTGCTTCCTTTGAGAGTCTTGGCTCTGATTCTTTCCGTGGGAGGGGTTTAAAGCGACAAGCTACAGCCTGTGGCGTAACTAGGGTTAAATGTCTGGGAGCACCCGGGGTGCACCCAATATTTCAAGGGGGCACCAAGAAAAGATAGGCACAGTCGTATAAAGTAATGGAGATATCAAATGGGGGGGGGACACGTGGGGGCACAGACATCCGAGGGGAGGGGTAGGCATGTGCCCTTGCAGTTACACCGCTGGCTACAGCCATGCAATATATCATGGAGATTTAATTTCAGAGCTGGGCGTTTTTATGTCCGACATGTACCCATGTGCCCGCAGTTTAAACGTTTGGTGATCGAGGCATTTGAGAGCAGATTTGCTATTCCGGTTTCCACTCACATGGTTGACGGTACATGACAAAAATGTGTCAATTTGGGGCGTATCTGCCTCGAGCAGAAGCACCCCTCATCGGTTAAAAAGAGCCGCGTTGGTCAGGAGTTTTCAATTTGTTAGTAGTGATGCGACCGTAACACGTGCATTTCCTAGTCGTGCGTGAACCAGCAAAGTTCAGTTTTGACCAAAGAATTCTCCGTTGCTAAGAAAACTGCGCACTCGATCCAGCTCGAGCCCAATACCCCCGCACCCTTAGCTTCTTCAATGCACTATTTAGTTTGAGTTTCCGCTGTAGGCTGATGTGACGCATTAACTTAATTATGGAAACAATTTTTGAGAATGAAGAGGGTATTAAATAAGTTCTGTTAAGTCCTGTAAAACATGACAAATGTTCTCAACTTGACACCCAATGTAAAATGTTGCTCGTCAGGCACTGGAAACAAATTTTAGAAGCGAGGAAACTCCAGGATTAACGGAATTTGGTCGAATAAAGGAAATATTGGGCTAAGTTCTTATACATGTATGTTATATAAATATAAAACGGAGAGACTTTTAGGCGCTGGTGGAAAGAGATATACCTGTCTGTTTACCATAGACATATAAACGTTTATATGTCTGTGCTTTTTACACAGTGCTGGGCGTGCTCGGAACTTTGCACGCATGCCCAGAACTATACAGGCACGTACAGAACAACCCGCCGACACTCATAACAGCGCATGCACGCTCAGAACTGATAAAAACACAGACATATAAACACATAGACACATGCACGTATCCGTGATTTTTAAAAGCGTGGGCAAGCAATGGGCGGAACGATGGGGTGGGAGCAGCGAGGTTAGCTATTGCAAATTGCACGTGACGCACTCCCATTGTTTGTATTTGTTTACTCAAAATTAAGTTCACTTTTTCTCTTTGTTACTGCTTTCTCTTTTCAAATTTTGCAACCGCATTATGCTGAATCTAATCCAGATTAAGTATACCAGAGGATTTTTGTCAAAATCGAGAAATGACTTCATTGAATTTTATGGATGGAATTCTTCAACTCTGCGTAACTTCCATATATCGAGGGGTGAATTTGCCCACCGCTTTGGATTTAGTCGGGTGCCGTCTTTGCTATACAGTTCCCCGCCGTTGTTTTGAATCGGAGCTGTCCGTCTATGGGTTTATATGTCTGTGGATATTAAAAAGGGCCAGTACGTTTGCTGCCAACAAGTGTACTTAAAGTCTCTTATCATACAAGCTTGATTGGGACACATTTTCATCGTTTTTTGAGACGTGAAAGAATTGGCTTTTGGTTTTTCGTTTATTTTACTGACTGAGCTAGGTTTTATTTATGGTTGTTGATTTGTGTTTGACAAGCTCATAAGTTTTGTCGGTTTTAAATTTAAAACTAATTAAATTTTGAATCAAACCTGTTGGGCATGGGCGAATAAAATATAGGCCTGGCATTTTTGCCAAAATAAACGTTTTTCTGAAAGGTAGCGGTATTCATTTGTAGCAGACGAAACCACAGAGGCACAATTTAGAAGTTAATCTTCGGTCATGCTCCGCACAGATTGGAAAACAGAGTCAACGTAGTCTACTTTGTCGTATATAATAAACATATGATAAACACATTTTTACACCATTTGGAACTCGAAAAGACATGTCTAGCATCAGCAAAGCAGCAGCAACAGATTTGTGTGAATATTTGCTTATTCGTGTGCCAGGTTGCAAAACTGGTACATTTGTCTACGTTACTGGAGTCGAATTCGTCTCTTAGTGAAAATTGCAAAACGAATTTTGCCCATGGTTTTGCTCTTTTTGCATCCGTGGAAGACAAATTTGTTCTTGCTTGAAAGTGCAAAATCTGGTTTAGTTGAGAGATGATCATGATTGGCTGGTTACAGTACAAATGACTACACCAAGTTGTAGACATTGCATAGACTAGTCGTTATTTAAAAAAAAATAGAAATTTGAAGAAAAAATCATGTTTTTTGTGAAAAACGGTGACGATATACTCCCGTCTAGATGGAACAGCCTGCAGGCCAAACACAATAGCATTGGACATTCCTTTGTCTTAGGACCTAATCTTGGGTGGGCACTTTAAAATACACAAGGGACAATCTTGTTACCAACAACTAGCATCTAGAAATACCATAAACAGAAATCTGCCTGTGACCATTACATTTACACAACGATTCAGCAGCGACCAACCGAATAGTGACAATGTTATGGAAGGGACCAAAAACCTATGCATGGACAGGTGCCTTTAGATGCTCACGTGGACAGTGGGTGGGGCCTACCCGATTGGTCTATTTCCGTCACAGGTTCCCTGCAATCACTGTCAGCAGTTGTGCTCAGCGTGCATCAAGTACCCAGAAATCCACAGGCACTTGACACGCAGAACGCAACCTGTTGTTTCTAAGCTCGGTGGTTGTAATACGCTGTTCTCTTTTTTCTTTTCCATCAGCATCAGTCGACCGAGAGTGAAAAAAGACTCTTAATTTTGGATCGAAATATCTTGAGAGTTCAAACCATTAATCAATCCTGGATCTATTCGAATAAAAAAAGTCAACTCCGATTTGTTAATGTCGTCATTTAACGGGGTGAATTTACAAGAATACAACTGGTTGTCCCGGACTGTTTAATTTTTGGAAGGCTTATGATTAAAAAAAAATACTATTTTCTCTGAAATTGTGCCTTCGGAAGCAGTAAAGTAATTTTTTAAAGTCGTTGCCAGCACATCGAAAGCACATAGATAATATGGCCGGGCAGACACATCGTGGCGGAGTCGACTTGTGCAGCTACCGTTGGTCATTAAAACAGCGTATGCTGCTGCCAATCGTGGTGTTGGGAGTACTGGTTTATCTGATGGCAACATTCCCTCTAGAGGTAAGAGATTTTGCAACCACGCAGTATGTGCGGTGAGCCTGCGTTCTGAACTGCTGAACTTTGCAACCCCCGAAATGCGCAAAAAGAGGAGTGTAACGGGTGAGCCTTTATGCGCCAGAGATCGGCAACAATGTGATCAAAATGTGCCTCATGGTAAGCGTAGACAAACTGAATTTGACGTGCTTTGTGACAGTGTTAATGTAAGCCTAGACAAGGTTTGTGTTTATCTGTCCCAGTGTGTTCGTCTTGCAAGCTGGCTAGTGAGCAGTTAATGTTAATTCGTTGGAATTTTTGCATTACCTTAAATAAGCCATGGCCGAGATCATTTGGGAGATTACGATCCGGTTCGTAAGTTAATTTGTCGTACACTCGCACGCACCACGATTTATTAGCTCCCGTTGGTTTAACAGACAAGTTGAGCGATAACTCCGTGTTCCATGTAACTCTATGTGAAGTGGGCATGGTTTCAAATGAAGTGACGTAGCACTTACGAACCTGAGAGAAATTTGATGATAATGGAGATCAATGCTTATTGAATATCGAAGTGAATACATCACACGCACAATTATGTTTGTAAAAGGCATTAGTGCAAGAACCAGCGTTTGAACCAACACGTGCGCGAAAGGTAATCCGTTTATTGTGTTTGCTTTTACCGGTTCAAAATGACGTCTTTCATTGGTACTAAATCACCAGATCCGACTACCCACCGCTATATATAAGTAGGGTTTGCTTACTAAATACGCCGTGCTATGAGTTGGTTGGTATCATAGGATCGTAGCATGGACTACGTTTGCCAAACTTGTATGCTGAACCAGCTTGCACCGCAGCAATGGCTCTCTATTGTGTGGCAATTAAGTGGGGGCGCTTTTCATGCCATGCTTACAAGTGGGCGAACGTAGTCCTGCTACGATCCTATAATACCAACCATGGCGTACTTGGTGTGCAAGCCCTACCTATGAGTAGCGACGGGTAGTTGGATCGGGTGACTATCTGGTTCGTAAGTGACTTCGTCAAAAAAGCGGAGGCGCGCCACGATGTGCAGGCTCCAATTGGACGATCGCTGAAGTTGCGCGTTGACTTCCGGTTCCATGGCTCCATATGTAAACGGCGATCAATGCAGTAACTCTATGTGCAGTGCACGTTCCGTAGGCGTGGTTTAAACTCTAGTGACGTCACATTAACGAACCGGATAGTGTTGGTTTAAACGCTGGGACTCTACTGAAGTGAATACGTCACGCACATTATGTGTTGAAAAGGCATTATATAGTGAGAGAATCAGCGCATGAAACAACACGCACGCGTACTCTATTCGTTTGCAGTGCACTTTCTGGTTCACAGTGACGTCACACTTCAGTACTTTATACCGCGGTAGGCCTGTTGATCATTGTATCAACGAAGCCATGCGCTGACTCACTGGTCCTTTACCAATGACATCATGATAATGTCATGTTGTGACTTTTGTATTAGATTTTGAACAATTAAATTTACCCATTGACTCTGTACTGTTTTAAGAAGCCTTTTTGGTCACTTTGCAATCTTGTATCTTCATGCAGAAAGATGGTCTGTTTGAAACAGACAGAAGTCTCTTGCTTTGAGTCTCTTCTTCCTGATTTGTTTTCGGTGGGGTATAAGTCAGTTTCCTTCCGTATGCTGGCATGTGCTATGTAGCAATCGTTGGGCCGTTGCCCTAGTCTGTCTTGCCTGAACACATGTCTTTGTTTTCGTCCGAAATAAGAAATCCTTGAAGTACGTTTTGCTGTTTTTAATATTTAAATTAACGAAGGCCCTTTTCCGGCCTTCTTCTGAGCAGCATTGACGCACAAATTCCTCACATACAATCGTAATTATAAATGAAAACTAAAAAAAAATGGAGAAGTGACAACTCCCCCCCCTCAAAAATGAAAGGATACTTACAAAATCAATTAAAATGCAATCAAACTACTCAGAAACAGTTCCTTTGTCGGGGTTTTTATCATGAACTAAAGGGAAAAATACAAGCTAACCAGTGGAACTCAGTCATGTGAGCTCTGACAGTTTACCAATTTTACCATGTAGGTCAGAGTTACGTACAGTTCACCACAGCCACTACCAGTAGGAGAGCTTCAATGGCCTAAACAGAAAACGAGATTGGACACAAACTTTCTTGGGAAAATGTGGGACAAAGCCACATTTGATGACTTTGAACCCGCTGCCTTCGAAAACTTCAAAGCCTACAACAACACAAACCGGCCTCTGGACATGGGATTGACAAGCTATAACATGACAGTTGTGAAACTAATCTCGCCAACAAGTCCCAGGATCAGAGTAGGTGATGTCTTAAAATACCGAATTGAAAGCCGTGATTTTAAGGGTAGGAACCGTATCGTGGGTGGCGATTTCTGGTACGCCACTTTGACCTCAGATCGAAGCCCGAAGGCGAGCACCACCGGCTACATCGCCGACTACGGCAACGGTACATACGATGCATTCGTACTAGCAGCCTGGCCTGGGAGCGCTAAATTCAACTTGATCCTTGTCCATACCAGTGAGACGGTGTACCACATGAGGAACACTGTGTGGAATTCTGAGGGAAGACTGTTTTTCAGGGGCTATTACCGATTCAACGGTAAAAATGCCGACGGCAGATGCTCCATGCGAAGACAAGGGACATGGGAGGCAATGTGTGATTACCCAGCATACAAATCCTTGGGAAGCACGGTTTTACTGTGTGAGCACAAGGCAGGCTTCCCGTGCGAATCACTGGTTTCTCTTGGCATCGACAGTAACCATATTAAGTATTCAGCCAAGCAGATGGCAAAGGATTTTGAGTACCTCTACAAAAGGTGAGTTTGAGTACATTACAAATGAACTATTTTTCATGTACATTGTTTTGATCGAGTTTAGTTTGGATTTGGATCGGTTGTTCGATTGGTTGATGTCGGAATTGTCAAGAAATCCTGCAAAAGAGTCGAGTAATCGCGCAACGATCGCGCATTTCGATTGTTCATGCCTCAACACATACACTGGCAAGTGCCAGTCGTACTTGAGCATAGTTTATGCGGCGCTTAATTTTTGCAAAACTCCCTCTAGACCCCAGATACGGACTACAAGGCAGCCACAAATTATTGGCCTTCTTTGGGAGATTCACTGGCAATACACGAAAATGTAGTGATCTGACATATATGGGTCAGCTGTACCATCGAAACAACAGCCTTTTGTACATTCTCTTTCGGTGGCTTCACAGAAAAATTGCATTAGAATATTATCAGACGTTTTTGAGAGCATACAGGCTCTGTTTTACGAAAGACCGTAGTGTACAGTCGGAAATAAATCGAAAAGAGATCCCAGTACGCCCTAAAAATGCAATAAGAAGTTTTAATTTAGAGCAAAGAAGACTTTTTTTATCAAATAGATATTTCACGATGACTCAAAATTTTGTCTGAGCTGGGAATTTGAGTAATCATTTACAGTGAATCACTTTCTAACTTTGATTTCGTTGCTTTGTTATTTTGAACAGTCCTTATTATTGGAAAAGTGTAGAGAGGACTGATGCAAGCATAAAGGTTGAAGGTTAGTTACGATGCATTGCTCTGAAGTTTTGCAAATTGGTTGACAAGGCTAGATAGTTTTGTTTGCAATCATATTGAAACTTTAGTCACACGAGCAAACCTCATTTAAAAAAAACTTCTGTCTTAGGCCTGACCCCGAGCTCTAAGGCTTTGCTCCAACTTTGGTTGTTCCAAGCTTTCAAATAAACTTTTCCTTGCATCTCTGATCTGGACGATAAACACGCCATGCATTTTAAACATGCATGTTCTGGGGAAGCGAGCCATCAATTCTAGTCATTTTGCTCGCATACTGCTTGTGAATTCATTTATGGATGCATATTATACGAGAAACACTTTAACAAAAAAATAACACTAAAAAAGTATAACAAGAAAACATATCGCCGCCACATCTTTCTAATAGAAAAGTTTACCAGTCTCCAGAATTAAACGTACCCGTGATTGGTCAATGCCGGATTGGATATATGAGGGTGATATCATTATTCCTAAATTCACACATGTATAAAGGGTTCCCTAAATTTCTTTAATGGTAAGGTTTGAAATATTTCTGAGATTTTATTTAACTGTATTCTTCAATGCAACTCTGTGTGAAAGATTATTACTTATTCTGAGTGTTAAACAACAATATTGTCACTCAATATTCGGCATGTTTTTCCCCAGTGCTGCTCTATCCAACCACTCTCTCTCTCTCCACGTAGGCCTTATTCAAAAAAGGATCTCTTTGATTCGCTACAGATAACAACACACTTTGAAATGTTTCATTCACTCATTTGAGGGGTGACAAAGCTTTCTGTTTTTCCCTTGCCATTTTGAACCGTTCGGTTGAAGAAAAGACGTCACAGAGGCATAACCAAGTCGCAAAAACGCTTAACCAATAACTCAAGCTGAAACAAGTTCATAGTTCGGGTTGCTAAAACACGCCCTTGCCTTCTATATGACAGCCTGTTGGTGGCGTGGCGCACTGTGGCCATTTTCACTGCCACAAGCTCCTGCAAACTCTCAAGAAATAATATATACTTTTTCCCCCACACAATTCAAGGGTCCACATTGTCTCTGCCTGAACTTCAGCGTTGTGAGGCTGACCAACAAATACCTAAACTCCATGGGTACTGGATAGACGGCAAGTGGTACTCACTTTTATGCAAATTTTCTGACTGGACTAAGAACTCAACGCAGCTACATTCCTGTCTCCGCAACAAGTCTATTATGATGCTTGGCGACTCAACAGCTCGACAGGTGCGAAACAGTTTAACCAAATTACTTGGAAAGGCTAGCAAAGTTACGAGAACTGGTCTCATGACTAAACACGCTTACGATTCGCTCAACCTTGTGATTTACTGGCAGTTTCACGGGTATGTGATTGCATCACACACTTACACAATCACAAACTGGAAGGAGGAGGTTGACGCACTGAACGAACTGAACAGCACACACTGCAGCTACATTGTTCTCATCAACCAGTGGGCACATTTTGCTCAATGGACACGTGACAGCTACATTGAAAGAGTCCGTCTTATTCGACAGGCCGTGATTGGTCTACTGCAGAGGTGCCCGGATGTCCCTGTTGTCATCAAAGGACCACACGCCCGGCAGCACGAGAGCGTCGGCTCTATAATATTTGGCTCGGACTACTTCTTAAAAGACATTGAGCTTATAAACCAGGAGGCTTTCCAGGGAACTGGGGCGTTCTTTTTGCCGGTGTGGGACATGAATCTTGCTTATCCTTCAAGCAATGATGTCCACATGCCCATGGAAGTTGTTGGGGAAGAACTGAAGATGTTTTTGGGTTATGCCTGTGACAAGTTAATGCGGGCAGCTAAGTGAGTAAAGGTTGGTTCGACATATTTTGTCAGCTGAATTGAACCTACAAGGTAGGCGAGATGTTTTAAGCCCAATATTACTACATACAGGCTAGTCGTGGATGAAAATAAGGTTTACACTTGACAACACGATGCGTTTTGGTTGTGTTTTTGAAAACGCATAAAAGGGGTACAAGAGAAATGTTGTCATAAGCCTATGTTTCAGGAAAACCTCTTACCTGTCCTATTGCAGTTACACCTTAAGGAAAAGTCTGAATCTTCACTTTGATAAAGTTAAGAAATTGGTGTGCTGGGTTTGAACCATGAAACTCCGTCTTTCTCTGCAAACAAAAAAACGAACAAACCAAATAAAACGAAAAACAACACTTCTTTTTCACCAAGTTCACTTCGTAAAAACACAAGATGCAGAGACACCAGTAGTGAGCCATATCAGATTAATTTGCTGATGGAATATTGTCCTTTTACGATGTAAAAAAAAAGAAAATGTGTCGTGATTCCCGCACATGCGACTGCACTAAAGATTTTAGAAAAGAAACTGTATCGTGGTTCAAGCACAAGCGACGGCACTTTCAGAGCTCGGTTCCTTACATACCTTGGGTTGACCCAAGGTTAAAAACTGGTAATACAGTTCTGTGTATTAAAGTACTGAAGATTTCCTTATTTTAGAAGCAAAGCGGGCTTGCGTCTATTGTGCAATAATGTTTCACATACAAAAATTCAAAACGTAGCCAGGGCAGACAACGCAAATCGCGACTGAACGTCGACGTGACAAGTATTTCCAGACGTTTTCGTGTAAAAAGGGAATAGCCACCAAATGGTCATGCGCACAGGGAAGCGCTAACCTTACATACCTAGTGTGGACTTGTGAACAAATGACGTCCACACGATGCAGGAAAGGAGGACGTTCTGTGGATTTACACATGTCCAGAGGACGTTTCCCCTTCTCTGAAAAAGAAGTATAGAGGCATTTGGGGGTTGAGGGTCATCCGTCGTAAAAGGAAGAGAAATAGTCAAGGAAACTTTGAGACAATAAAAAGAACATGGAAAGGGACACTGCCCTAATCATTAAATAAACTCTATTATAATGTCCAGGTTATTAGACTCCAAATCCAAAGAACAAAATCCGTGCGTTGCATCTTAAACTTTTGTTTGTATACTCCATTTTGAAGTATAATAACTTAAATCATTTCGATTGCTTAAAGTTCAAATATATAATTTCCAATCCGAAATGTTTTTGTTTGGCACTTAGACTAGTAGGAGAAATTAAAAAATAGTTTATCACCAACAACAGTGGAAATTCATGCCCCAAAATAAGATTTCTTTTGTTTTCTTGTTTGTTAGAAACGAAGATGTGAGAAAAGCAAGATCACTTTTTGTTCAAAGCAATTTAAACCTTTTGCATTGCATCCCCCCTGGGCACATTTGAGAACGATTGCACGCTGAATAGGACTTATGAGACTGTTGCGGGATATCAATTTCACACCGCACAAATAGCGGATATAGAGCACACTTGTCGCCATGGTACGCTCTTGAATTTTTTTTTAAATGTGGCCCTTATACGCTTTCATATAGAATAATTTCCCTAGAGCGCTTAGAGCGCTTAATAATCTTTGTACTGCCCTCCTTAAGATGTTTCTAATAAAAACTTGGCAGCTGGCCAAACTCCAATCACTGATGAAAATGGAGTCAGGAGATAGCTCCGCTTGTAGCTCTAGTGTTTTAATATTTGGTCACACTGGATGACGATGTCATTGACATGGAGTAAAACTGCGCAGCAAAACAAGAAAACACTAAGAGCTATGAATACTTCGAGCTTTGGAGCTGACGAAGGATGAAGGTCGAATCTGCTGTTGACCTGCCCGCCCTAAAGCCACACTGGGATTGTAACTGTAAGTAACTACAGCTTTCTAATAGGAATGTGAGCGAACACTTTACCAACAATACTCAGGAGTGAGATCCCTCTCATTGTTGCAATCACTGCGATCGCCCTTGTTCTTATAAAGTGTCACAATGACGGTATCTTGCATATCTTGGAGGACGGCACCTTCCTCCCAGCAAAGGCAAAGCAGTTCATACAAGGGCCGAAGCAGAGCTGGTTTTCCACACTTGATGGCTTCAGGCAGGATGTTATAGCTGCCTGGTGCTTTTCCACTTGGAAGGGCATCAATAGCCTTACTAAGCTCCTCCATAGTCGGCTATTTGTCCAGGTCTCCATTATGGGCTGATCTTTCACAACTCTCGGGGAAGCATCAGAGACTGACGACTCACAGGAGTACAGAGCTGATTAGTTTTCCACCCATCTGGCCACCTCTTTCTCGCAATCAACCTTAGCTGGAACCGACATCTGTGCGGTGTTGATGCAAGGACGCCTTTTGGGTTTTGAGCAGTGCAGATTATGTGGTTGTAAGCGTATTGGGCTGCACACAAGGGCGTGGTCAGTGTCGCAGTCTGCACTATGGTAGCTTCTAGTGATGAGTACGTCGATTGAGAGCAAACCACCAAGTGACGATTTAATCAAGTTGGCGCCAACGATTAGACCTAGAATGTTTCCAGGACACTTTGTGCGATGGCCTGCACTCAACGAATGTGTTTGTAATGCAGAGGCTGTGGTAGCCGCATACTAGCCTCTGACCGTTTTCATTTGTCTTCCCAGTGCCGTGGTGCCATGCTGGCAAGTAGGCCATGCCTCATGATCCGTGCCCACCCGGGTATTGAAGTCGCCGAGAAGAAATAAGGACTCATCTTTTGAACAACCTTTGATAAGAGCATCAAACTGCCTATAAGACTGGTCCTTTGTTTCTTCTTCTGAGGTGAGGATAGGAGCATACACGGAGAGGATGTTAACAGGGGGATGGAGAGCAGGCGCTCGGTGCCTCCAGAAAGGGCCTCTACCGAAGCTACAAGCGTGTTCTTGATGGCAAAGCCAACTCCATACTGGCGAGGCTCCTTGGGTTCTATACCCTTCCAGAAAAAAATATATAGTTCTCCTCTTTCAGGGAGCCACCGGAGGGAAGCATTTTTTTCAAGGGCAGCTATGCTGATGTTTAAGTCTGGAAAGCTCTCTATCGATGATGGCTGTTTTCTTGGTGTCATCCACCTCTTGAAGGTCGCCAGTAACACTCGTGCACATGGTGCGCAAGTTCCAGCTCAAAAGTCGAATATTGCGATACTTTTGTTTTGTTTTCTTGCTATGTTTGCGCGGTGCGACGTTTACCGTCAACTTGTCATGTGTGAGGTTTACAATAAAGCTTTAGGCAGGCAAAACAAATACACGTACATGTAAATAATGAGCTTACATAGCCCTTAATACACACGTGGACCTATTGAAATGTCTATTTAATGGGCCTATAAGCATAGAAAATAGCCATACTTATCTACATGAACAAGTGGATCACTTGGCATTCCACAATTGTTGCATCCTTATATAACATGTGAATATGTGGGTATATACACGTGTAAACAAGGTAAACTTCACATGAAAACCGAATGTCATAAAGGCCTCAAAACTATGCTTGAAATAGGCTACCTTTTAATAAAGGGAAAAATATAATCAACTTAAAGGCAATGCTTCACTAGGCGCTATAAACAGTTAGCAAGGAGCGACGGGAAGATTCGTGCCCTCAAAATGTGGGGAAATGATGCACAAATTCAGTGTGGGAAATCCCTCGTTTATAGATGAGTGTATAGCATTAAGAAATAGCAATGTAAACATAATCTCTCACCAGAAAATGTCCCATGTGTACAATTTCAATGCCTTTTCGTAAGGTTTTCTAACGGTGTAAATAAAACTATAAGCTTAAGTGAACCTGAACTTTTAAAATTAATTTGAAATAACGAGAAAAGGAAACCTGGAGATGTGTCCCAGTACGTAAATTTCACCGGAATTCGTCTCGCCCCTTCGGTTTGGTTGAGCTTTTACAAAAATACAGGATTCCAGGACTGCTTTGCTTAGTCTTCGATGTCCGAGTATCGAAAAACCAGACTGCAGAATATGGCCAGGCAAAAACATCGTGGCAATGTTGACTAATACAGCCGCTGCTCATTCAAACGACTGATAATGCTGGCAGTCATTGCGTTAGGACAGTGCAACACATGCCATTGACAGCGATCCTGCACTCTCTTTCTTAAATTTTGTACATAGAAAATCTGAAGTGCAGTCAATTGTTGTTACGTTGGATATTATCAATGATTTATGTCTTTTTAGAGTAGCAATGCATTATGCAAATAAGGGGGAGTTTGCAGATCCATGTGTACGGGGAATGCACTCTTTAAGGCCCTATATATCATGAAGTACATGTCCGATTGGGTTCAAATCTTCCAGATATCTTGAAAACGGAGTGCTTTAGAGGAAAATTGATCTTATATGATGATGATGACGTCATTATGATGACTTCAAACCTTGCAGATATTTTAGAAGGAGAGTGCTTTAGACAAAAGATGATCTTATGTAATGATTACAGCAGCAGGAGAAAGTCAAGTGATATTAAAGGTGAACTCTTCAAAGAACTGTATCTCGTGACGTACAAGTCTGATTGGGTTCAAACCTTTCAGATATCTTAGAAGGAGAGGGTTTTATAAAAAAAATGATCCGATGTGATGATGACGTCATCATATGACATGCTACGTGACATTAAAGGTGTCAGTGCTGGGTTGAAACCCTGCTGATATCTTGGAAAGAGAGTGCTTTATGCAAATACTGAGCTCATTTAGTGATGACGTCATTAAGCAACAGTCACGTGACTTTAAAGAGGCATTATTTAATAAGCTATATCTCCTGAAGTGTACGCCCAATCGGGCTCAAACTTTGCAGATATCTTGGAAGGGAAGTGATTAAGACGAATATTGCCCTCGTGACGATGTCGGCATCAGGTGAGAAGTCACGTGACATTAAAGGGGGCATTTATTAATGCGGTATATCTTCTGAAGGATATGCCCAATTGTGTTCAAACCTTGCAGATATCTTGGAAGGGAAGTGGTTTTAGACGAATATTCACCTCATGTGAT